TGACTCTTGTGACTGCAAAATTCGAAATAAATCGCGGTCAAGACAGAATCAAAATAAAGGACAAAATGTAAACCACGATCCATCCCGTGGAAGAAGAAGACAGTATTTTTATTAGACTCTGGGACAGAGTCTTTTTCAAGTCGGAGGGAATTTGTGACAGCGATATTTTCCTCTTTGTTTTATTTCGTGGAAATTCAAACTGTATCTAAAAGCAAGCGACTATTGTTCTCGAAATAGTTAGCTTACATGTTGAGAAGTTAATCCATTTTAATCCTAGCATTGTCCATTTCCTGTTATCATATATATGTTTTTTAATTTTATTATTTGTTTGAATCATTAAGTGACAAATTTCATTATTACATGTAGTTACGATTAAGTAAGATTACGTAATTCATATTAGATCGTTTTTATGTAAATGGTCAGTTGGATGCCAGCGGTCAAGCTGTACGGACGCCGTGCATTCACAGTGACATTCATTGTGTTTAGTAAAGAACATTTATTGGAATTACCATTTGTTTTATCTTTTCGGAATATTACCGTTGAACTTTTAATGTAATTAATGTATTGCACTATTGGAGAAGTTATATATAAACCATCGTAAAGCTTAACTTAGTTTTGTTGACTTTAGACAGTGACTTTCCCCCAGAATTCTAAATATAACAGGAACGACGAAAACCCCTGTTATATATGTATGCAGTTCTTTACTATCTACGAGTAATGAAACAATCCTTTACAAAATAAACGGTATCCTTATACGATATCAACTTACCGACAACAGTAGGTTCCAGATCAATAAAGACAGCCCTGGGTACGTGTTTACCAGCTCCTGTCTCACTGAAGAAGGTGTTGAAGGAGTCATCACCGCCACCAATGGTCTTGTCTGAGGGCATCTGACCATCAGGTTGGATACCATGCTCCAAACAGTACAATTCCCAGCAGGCATTTCCTACCTGAACTCCAGCTTGTCCGACGTGGATAGAAATACATTCCCTCTGAAATAGTAACATAAAATATTTCAATAATGATCAAAAAGAACCATCATTTTTCAAATAATTAAGAAGTGTTTTTTTTTTTTTGGCAATTGATAATTCTAACAATGTGAAATAGTAACGCAAATTGTGATTTTTATATTTCATATTTCACCAGTAGATAAAAGCTTGATCCGAGTTTAGCTTTTCAATTCAGAATGAATAACCCGAAAAAAGTCCAAAATATCTATGTATAACATCTTCGTATTCCATATCTTGTTAAAAACTGAGTAAATTCTAAATTATTCGATTTAAGCAATGATTAGCATTCCAATAAATAGATTAATAACTATAAAATGATATATTTTCATTGAAAAAATATATAAAAAATACCTAAGACTTACCATATTGATTGGCGAAGATAAATGTCAGTAAATTTGGTATAAAATCTCTTCGGGAACTCACGAAGACGTTAAAGTGTCGTTGTGAGTCTGTGTGTGCGTGTGAGACAAGTTGAAATCACTTGAATATATACACCCGTATAATCCCCTAGGTAACAACACACAATGGAAGTCTAAACATAATGATAAACAAATTAATGACTGCAGTACTTTTAATTATGTATGGTTTACAACAGTTTAACAGATTATAAGTTCATTGCCTATTGTTATGTATGTATCAAATATGGTTTTGAAATAATATTAAAAGTCCCGCAAGGGATTTATTAATGATTTTTATTGTTAGTGGTTGCAACATAACTTATATTGTTACAAACTGTACAGTAAACATGCAAATTACAATTCAAAGTTAAATACTGTGTGGCTTTTTTATTAATCAAATCAAATTGAATTTGATTTGTTATTTAATATTAATAATTATTATTTTAAATAATCAATTTTTTATTACTTTCAATTATAAAGGGCTTCACCATCGTGATATAATGTAAGAAATTTTGGAATATAAAATGTATTATAATTATTAAATGCTAAAAATTAAGGCATATACAGCTTTAGTAAGACCGACAGTTGAATATGCAAGTTCAGTATGGATCCTCACCTACAAAAAGACAATCATAAACTAGATATGATACAAAGAAGATCAGCAAGGTATGTTACAAACAGGTATCACAACACATCATCAGTTGAATTCATGCTACAAAAACTACAATGGCAAACACTAGAGGAGAGAAGAAAGAACGCTAGACTAACCCTCTTATACAAAATTTCGAATGAAGAAGTAAAGATTGATGCTGGCGACACATTGATACCACCAGACAGACTATCAAGATATACTAACGTTCACTCTTTCCAAATACCATCATGCAAGACCAGCATCAGGAAAGAGTCCTTCTATCCACGAACGATTAGCGATTAGAACACCTTACCTGTCTCGGTGACCGCTGCAGAAAGTCTTGGCTCGTTCAAGAGACTACTGCATGCACATTAGATCTCAAGTCCCATGATTTTATTTGCACAATGTATAAATGATATGTACAGCACACATTTTTCATTTCTGTTAAATTATTTTATTGGAATTGTTAAGTAAGCAAGCGCACACCAAACAGTGACAGGATAGTCAACCTAATGACGGTGGTCACTTAGAGGTAGAAGTAGAAGTAGAAGTGTCCATTAAATTCCTTGCTTGATTTGTAAATCGACTATTTCTCTGTTGCGACATTAACATGCAGGCTCTAGGGAAATGACGCCATCAGATTCGTGTGTCATTAAATAATCTTAGACGTGTTTAAGACTTCAGTTTGATTTTTTTTTCAACCAGATATACGTCTATCCTCATCAATCAAATATTACTTTATTAATTTTGGTTTTAAAAACCAATGATTATGTGTTTGAAGTCTTGGTGATCTTTTACCTTTTTGTTTAGTATAAAACTAAATCAACAAAGACGGAAAATGGAAACACAGATATTTAAGCAGAAAAATGTCAAGTGTTTCACTAGATAATCATAAAGGCTAATAATTGAATATAAGGAACTACAAATGGAACTTAACAGGAAATATTTTACAGGAATAGATGGTTTATAAGTTATTCCTCAAACTCAAAATTGACAAATATGGACGAGATAAACCACATTCTCGTCTACTAAGAAATTTGCAACAGAACTATCTACACCACCTCTATGCATTATTTTTAGACAGCCTATAATTTAGAATAAAGTCTGAACAGAAAAACGGAAGATTGAAAAAAAATAGTGCAACATTTTGATCTATAATGGTTTACATTTACAAATTGTGACTTGGATGGAGAGTTGTCTCATTGGCACTCATACCACATCTTCTTATGTCTATAACATATCAACATTTTGTTCTGGATGAAACTTGAGTGACCATCGGTCATTCCATTTATTCATACTGTTTAAATCAGATTGTAACGCTTCATGGTCCTCTTTATAGCCCCAAAAATATTGGTTTTATTCGCAAAAAAGTGGGTTTCCAATCAAATTGGAAATGTTGTATCCATGTGATAATACAATACTTCAATACTTCTGCTAATGCCGAGAGCTTCTGTCCATTTATCTTATAACTTCAATAGATGAAACCAATTGGTTTGTTTGATGAAAAAAGTTAATATTTTTAATGCACAAAATATATGTGAATGATTTCTTAAATTTTCCTCCAAAGTTATGATTACTGCTAAAGTGAGACTATCTGGCCTATAGCTCCTGCTAATGCCGGTTGTTTATGCTGTACATAGATATAAGAAGATGTGGTGTGAGTGGCAATGAGACAACTATCCATCCAAGTCAATTTGTAAAAGTAAACCATTATAATAGGTCAAAGTACGGCCTTTAACACGGAGCCTTGGCTCACACCGAACAGCAAGCTATAAAGGGCCCCAAAATGACTAGTGTAAAACCATTCAAACAGGAAAACCAACGGTCTAATCTATATAAAAAAAACGAGAAACGAGAAACACTTATGAACCACATGTTGCATGTAATATCGCAAAATCAAGGAACCAAAAACTCTTGCGAATTGAATTAAAAACAAAACAAAAGGTCACTTAAATCATACTTTTCAAGTACAGATTTAAGATCAGAACATTTAATTGGAAAAACAGTAACAAATTTTCACATATCTCATCTCATCTTTGAAAAAAGGGTATTATATAGTGCAAGTAAACAAATACAATTGAATCAAATAAAACTGATTTAATCTGCCTTATTAAGATCACCATTTAGTAAGCAATTATTGAAATAAAGTTAACTTTTGAACAAGTTATCACTGGGTTTGTTCTAACATGAGCAACACGACGGGTGCCAAATGTGGAGCAGGATCTGCCTACCCTTCCAGAACAACTGGGATCACCTCAGTTTTTGGTGGGTTCGTGTTACTCAGTCTTTAGTTTTCTATGTTATGTTATGTTTTGTTTTCTGTTGTTTGACTGTTTTTCTTTTTCTTTTTTACCCATGGCCAAGGATTTGTATAGTACTATACCTCGAGTACTCATACAAATCATTGCCATGGCGTTGTCCGTTTATTTTCAACATAAATGATTTTGAATGTCCCTTTGGTATCTTTCGCCTCTATTCTACTCAATCATTGAAATCAAATGTTTTGGATGTATCGCAGTGGCGGATCCGGTGGGGGGGGTTCCGGGGGTTGGAACCCACCCTTTTTTTTACGATCAATGCATTTGAATGGGGACATATAGTTGGAACCCCCCTTTTATCCTGGGTTAGGAACCCCCCTTTTATAAATGGCTGGATCCGCCCCTGTATCGGTAGAAACAGAGACATATAATACAATTGTATTATATGTCTCTGGTAGAAATGAGACTACAGTACTACAGAATTTGTTTGAAACATTGTAGAAATGCATGAGTTATCGAAATTCATACTATGTTAATCCGACAGCAGATTTATTTTTAATATTTCTACTGGTAATTACTATTGAAGCGAAAAAAAGAATGATTGCAAAAACAGGGAACTAGTAAAAATGTTCATAGTCAAAAATATGCTTACTTTTAGGAATCTTCGTTATTTTTGATAAAGACTTTATTTGACATCAATTTTTTTCCCCTGGAATAACTATGTACATAATCTGAAAATAGACTTTCATAGATCAATAACATAACCCTGTCCGTTGGTTATCCGTCGTGGCTACAATCACGCCCCTTCACCCCTAAAATATAGAATGGTGTCAACGTATATTTTTTCCGCCTAACAGAAGTTCCTCTGGAAACTTTGTTATAAACAATGTCATAAAATATATATGTTCCTGTTGGAACATGGAAATAATATTACCGAATATTTCTTCCACTTGGTCTTGGAACATATATTATGAAGGAACTTCTATTTCGTGACAATGGAAGCCCAAAAATTTCACAAATTATGCATCATTGACATTGAAATTTGGGAAAATATCTGTCATCTGAATTTGATAATTTGATTTGAATTATTCTTTTCTGTGTTATCCAATAATTTTGTCAGTTGGATATAAGATTTCGACTATTGGAATATGTCTGGGATAAGCCAGTATAATTTATATGGGGACAAAGTCCCAAATTACGGTAGAAAAATCAACAACAAAAAAAATCAATCTACTAATGAACTCAAAATCGTTAACTTTCTTTTTTCAGACTTATTATTTTCCCACATTTGCGCAGACATCTCTTTCTTTCTTCTGGTCTCTTTTGTCCAGAGACTTGTAAAATATTGCAAGGAGCATCATATTGTTTCCCGTAAATTTGTTGTTTTTGATAATTCCTTGATATGAAAAAAAAAAGTTACCTAATGATAGCGTTTCTTTGTTTATATTGAAAATGACGTCACAATAAAAATCCCTAACAACAGGACCATCATCAGAAACGTTTCCGTATTTCTGTTTCTTTTTTAACAGATTCTGAACTAAAATTTGCTTGAATTAAAACAAATAATGTATACAGACTTCGTCCCCTTTCACAGGTAACGCCTGCCTCACATTAGACAGAAATGTGTGAAAATTTGAGTTTTTACAAATGATATAATTTCAACAATATGTCCAACTTTCAAAGATTGACCTTTTTGGTCAGTACTTCAAGTACTATATATAAATGGAGCCAATACTAAGAGAAAAACAATTGCATTTCATTTCTGGATAATATCTTAACCCTTAGAGTGCTACGTTTTTTGTTGTTGTTAAAATACCGTTGAGTGCCATGTGATAGGCCCTAGATTTGAAATTTGAACGGAAAAGGTCATAAAGAAGTGTAACAATGCACAAATGCCATGCAATATATTGTTTCCGTATGGAAACCATTCTGTTTCGACAATTGGCGTTTGTCAGTTAGATTTCTTAAGGTAACAGGTTCATAAATGGGCAATACAACAGATTTTTTAAAGAAATTTTGAAGGCAAATTGATCCATTAAAACCGCAGATAAATATTCATAAAGTATGCAAGAAGAAATTCGACCTTCAAAGATAAAGGAATCAGAATATTCTATAAAACGTAGTACAAGTATATATATTGATGCACATAAATACCGCAAACACTATTGAATAATTTGATTTTAAATTGACTTTTCTTCAAGACATGTACAGCAAATTTTCTTTTAAAAAATATATTTCATTGTCACTTAAATTTCCGTTTTGTTGATTATATAAAATTTACAGGGGCTACCAAATTCATTTTTGTTGTATGCATCGATCTTTCAAATGCATATGTTTCATCCTATACATGATTTTGCCACAGCGTTTTCAGTTTCTCTTTGAACTCTTTGAATGTTTTGGGTGTTCTTTTGGTACCTTCCACATCTTTTTCAAAGTCAAAGTTGCTGAATTTCTTGCAATATTTACAAGTATTCTATACTTTCGTACCTCAGATTTTCAAATATCTAATTTGCTATACATATCGGAGAGTAAATAGCTACATATATCATTTTTCTATACTGATAGGTGTCTGTCTGTTGACTCTGACCTTGTGCATCTTGTGTTATCTTGATGAATAAAATATTTGCCACTGGACATTAAGTAGCCAAGAATCAAGTAGTTAATCCATAATTTCACAAACATTTGTACTTTGGATAGACTTTTAAACATCTAATGTTTAATTTTTCTGTTCTTTTTTTGTGAAATTGTTTTTTTTTGTTCATGTTGTTTATTGTTAAACTCAGGACACCAAGATCAAAATTAGATTTGCCACTTCTATGTTGTGAAAATATTTTTTTAAGGTATGAGTGAAAACCATTGCAGTCACAGTGATCATTATTTTTGTTTAGCACGGTTGTCACACGTTTGTTTTTTTTTTTAGTGTTTTGCAAAAAGTATTCGTCATCTACGATCTTTTGCTAAATCAAATGAAAACACATTTTATAAAGTATTATTTTGAATGCATATATAATAATGTATGGTTAGATTGTAACAAACTAAGAGTTGAAAAAAAAAAATTGTTTGTAGTGTATTTGTCTATTTGATCATAACGTTGTTTTCTTTCGTTTTATCATGATGTTGTCATGTATAATTATATATTTATTTTAACTGTACAACAAATTTCCTGACAAAAATAATAATTGTGTTTATATCATTAGTAGAGGAAAACGCTTCTCATAAAAAATATAATCAAACAGCAAATATGACAATTTTCTTTCTATTGGTACCAAGTTGATTAAATTCCAGCCAGAACTGATCCCACAATATTTTTTGGAAAATACAGTTTTAAGGGAAATATATGACAAAAAAAAACTACATAGGTGATGAATATTCATTGCATATCATTGTAAATGTAATCGGAACATGCTTCATTGTTATCTTTGTGCCACTTTGTCTGTAAGTATTGTTTGTTTTGTTTAGCTGATGAGAGATTTTATATAACCTCATATGCATTCAATAAAGTTAAAGAGAAAAAAGAAAACCCGACGAAATTTATCAAATTCAAGTTACGGCATTGAACACACATTTTCAATAGTTGATACAGGTAATTTTTTTTGAAAGTTACTAATGTTAAATGTTTATTTTAGTAATCCGCACTCTAGCATTATGAATTGTTCATTATTACGTAACTTCAAAATTCTGTTGGCCTTTGGGCCTCACCAGTGGTACTCAAAGATAGTGTTATTGAATAGGTCTGATAGGCCGTATGGCAGAGAAAAGGTTAAGTATAAATAAGAAGATGTGGTATGAGTGCCAATGAGACAACTCTCCATCCAAATCAGACTTTTAACAATATTAGGTGATATTGCAGCTTAGGATGAAAAGAACTTCTAGTATTGATTTTGAGATAATTTGGGCAAAGGTCAAGTAACAACAGCATCTAACATGTCTAACAGACCATAACTTGGTCAACTATTTGTTTTCCAACTTTTGAAATAAACTGTCAGGAGACAGAAAATCCAAACAATACGAAAGCACCTGACACAAATGTATAAAAGATTGCCAAATATACCAAAAGAAAATAAAAGATTGAAAGACAAATATAGTCCAAAACAATGAATGAAAACTTAAGTCTGAGTAACATAACCTCCCACATTACCCAAGATAAACCTGCAGTTCCTGCATCACTAGTGGTTCTACATAAGTTGTAACAAAGAATGAAAACTTAAGTCTGAGTAACATAACCTCCCACATTACCCAAGATGAACCTGCAGTTCCTGCATCACTAGTGGTTCTACATAAGTTGTAACAAGGAATGAAAACTTAAGTCTGAGTAACATAACCTCCCACATTACCCAAGATGAACCTGCAGTTCCTGCATCACTAGTGGTTCTACATAAGTTGTAACAAGGAATGAAAACTTAAGTCTGAGTAACATAACCTCCCACATTACCCAAGATGAACCTGCAGTTCCTGCATCACTAGTGGTTCTACATAAGTTGTAACAAGGAATGAAAACTTAAGTCTGAGTAACATAACCCCCTTCATTACCCAACATGAACTTGCAGTTCCTGCATCACTAGTGGTTCTACATAAGTTGTAACAAGGAATGGAGGACAGGTTTGTGGCTAAAACAAGAGTAGAATCAGATAAATTGGTCAGATATCTCATAAAATTTAAGATGACTCTTTTAATATAAATCTTTTTTTTTTAACATTAACAAATCCTTCATTACACTATCTAGTTATTAACAACTGCCCTATATAGCAAAACCATTCTATATGGGTTTATCCCTGTGTGTTAGTGCACAATTGAACCAGGGGATTTACTTGATGAAATTATGTTCTTCTTTGCTTAAGTTATACAATACATTATTACATTTATTTCAACTTTGTGGATATCTGTTTTCTCTGTTTATAAATCTTTTTAAATGAGACAATGCACCAGAAATCTAACTAGACCTTGTAGACTTGCTGCTTTCATTGCATAATGTGATATTAAATAATAGTGTGTATTTAATTTTGTAGAGAATTATGACAACTATGGAAGAATATAGAGACCTTCAGGAAAAGTTTGTAGCCAACCACACAGGAACCAGTGTATTAGAAATTTCAGTTGTTTTATCAGTTCCAGTTGTGTCTGTATTTCTTAGAAGAGCTTTACTGTTAGCCTTTCATATTCATGCACAGTTTTCATTGGGCCAGTCAAGTGTTTGGTATAGTATTTTTATATAAATTTCATCAATATGATTTATGTATGGTACAAGAATGAAATCAAATAAATAGCACCTGAATTTAACAGAATCTAAGAATTTATCAAACAACAAAATAGTGTTTCCTTTAAAATGTAAACTGAAGTTAGAACCTATCCACTAACATATCAGAGGATACATGTAATATGTAGCTAAGACAATGAAATAAAAGATATATGCATATTTTAGTAAAGCACATTTTTACATATATCGCTGTGATTGTTTGTTTATTCTTCTTTAAGATTTTTATACGGCGGTCGTATATTGGTATGACGTTGGCGTCGTCGTCGTCGTCCGAAGACAAATTGGTTTACGCACTCTAACTTTAGTTTAAGTGAATGGATCTCTATGAAATTTTACCATAAGGTTCAATACCACAAAAGGAAGGTGTGGATTGATTTTGGGGGTTATGGTACCAACAGTTAAGGAATTAGGGGCCAAAAAGGGTCCAAAAATAAGCATTTTTGTAACTTCCAGACATAACTTGTGTGTTAGTGTATGGATCTCTCTGACATTGTACCATAAGGTTCCATATCACAAAGGGAATGCTGGGATTGATTTTGGGGGTAATTGCCTCCAAATTTTAGGAATTAGGGGCAAAAAAGGGGCAAAAAACAAGCATTTATCTAGTTTCATGACAATAACTTGTGTGTAAGTGTATGGATCTCTCTGACATTGTACCACAAGGTTCCCTATCACAAAGGGAGTGCTGGGATTGATTTTGGGGGTAATTGCCTCCAAATTTTAGGAATTAGGGGCCAAAAAGGGGCAAAAAACAAGCATTTTTCTAGTTTCATGACAATAACTTGTGTCTAAGTGTATGGATCTTTATGAAATTGTACTACAAGGTTCCATATCACAAAGGGAAAGCTGGAATTGAGTTTGGGCGTAATTGCCCAAAACATTTAGGAATTAGGGGCCAAAAGGGGCCAAAAATAAGCATTTTTCTAGTTTCCAGACAATAACTTGTGTTCAAGTGTATGGATCTCTCTGAAATTGAACTGTTAGGTACCATACCACAAAGGGAAGGCTGGGATTGATTTTGGGGGTAATTCCCTCAAAATTTTAGGAATTAGGGGCCATAAAGGGGCAAAAAAACAAGCATTTTTCTAGTTTCAGGACAATAACTTGTGTGTAAGTGTATGGATCTTTATGAAATTGTACTGCAAGGTTCCATATCACAAAGGGAAAGCTGGGTTTGAGTTTGGGGGTAATTGCCCTAAACGTTTAGGAATTTGGGGCCAAAAAGGGGCAAAAAAACAAGCATTTTTCTAGTTTCCAGACAATAACTTGTGTTCAAGTGTATGGATCTCTCTGAAATTGTACTGCAAGGTACCATACCACAAAGGGAAGGCTGGGATTGAGTTTGGGGCCGATGAATCATAAGGGGGTTAAAAAAATTTGGGGGGGGATTTTTTTTTTCCTTTTTTTTCTTTAAAATTTTCCATTATAAATTGGTTATTTCTGATTTATATATAAAAGCAAATAATAATGATATGGTTTGAATAGGTAAATTAAAAAATTTTAAGTTCTTAGACCACATTCATTCTGTGTCAGAAACCTATGCTGTGTCAAATATTTAATTACAATCCAAATTCAGTGCTGTATCAAGCTTGAATGTTGTGTCCATACTTGCCCCAACTGTTCAGGGTTCGACCTCTGCGGTCGTATCAAGCTGCGCCCCAGCAGGAGCATTTTATTTGTATTTGATTTGTGTCAAAATGAAATATAATCAAAAGATAATTCAATTTAATGTTTATGGATGATTTTTTTTGTTAATGATAAGTTTTCCATCTTTACAAATTAAGTATAGTGCACAGAAAAATAAAATGCAAATTCATTCCAACTTTGAACAATTTAATACAAGAAGTTTAAGCTGAAAAAAATAGCATTTTTTTGTTAATTTTTATGATTCGGAACACAAAAACTAAACGAATGCTAGATAAAAATTAAGTGGAGGATAAAAATTTAGAATAGTCTGGTAACCTGAAACATAATATTCATGTTTTAAGCTTATATGAAAAGTACATATTTTGCAGGAGGATTTTTATGATTGACTTTTTGTGTTTGGTGCTGCCAACACTCTTGTCAGCTACCACTCATTCAGAAAGTCTTTATTTCCTATTCTCTTCTGTACTGGTGGTAGCAAGTGGTTCCATCATTTTGCAGTGTTACAGAATTCCAGGTTTAACATGGAAACATGCAAAGACAAGAGTGAAAGACTTCCCAGCAATCGAAATAAATGACAGGTTTCAGTTCATATCCAATTTTAAAGCCTACACTTTGATAGGAACAGTGATTTCAATATTAGCCGTAGATTTTACAGTCTTTCCTAGAAGATTCTGTAAAACTGAGACTTATGGCACAGGATTAATGGATGCTGGTGTTGGGTTGTTTGTTGTTTCCAATGCAGTTGTGTCTCCTGAGGCACGAAACAAAATGACACAAGGTCAGAATAGGTAGAGTATAATTGTATTTTTAAAAACACATTTTAAATATATCATTACAATTAGAAATCACAACCATATATTCATATTAAATCACATGTGATTTTTTTTTATCTACAGAACAAGTTTTCCTTGAGACTAATTAATACCACAATCTTGATTAAAATACTTTCTTGTGTCCATGCTCCGCTTATAAGGATCTGAAAACATTGCGTTCTACTTTCTATTTTAAAGACCTTTCTGGATCCTCTGGTTTTATTATAATGTTACACACCTTCAAAAATTTGAAGGCAGGACTTCATTGGCTGATGTAATAATTAACAGAAGGGAAAATGGAACAGAGTGTTGTTGTATCTGTGTAAGCAGAGCTTTGACACAGAATCTGGGGCTCTTTTCACAAAAAATCTTAAGACTAAAATAGGTTGTAAGTTATACTAAAATGTTCATGACTAAAGAGTATTTTTGCTTGTAAGATTTTTTGTGAATTGAGTCGCTGTATTTTAATCAGATTTTCAGTACCAGGGATTGGCTACTAGTGAAATCTCATGTTTGTCTCAAATAAGTTTTTGAAAGATTTCATATGAAATATTTTTAGCCTAAAAAAGGTAGAATGTATTTTATAAATGTAACATGTTCTTTTCCATAACGGCCCTGGAATCATCCTGAGACTCCCATATTAGCCCAAGGTGCCAGCTGAGGGCTCATATCGGTGGAGGGATGATACCAGGGGCCCATATGGAAAAGGACATCAATTTATCACATATTATACAAATGCTTAGTAGAAAGAATTTTATCACTCCATCTGGCAAGATCATATATTTTTGTCCTCCACTGAAATAATTCTGCTGTCATTTTAATCAAAGTTCCTCATACGTCATTGTTATTATAAATGCTTATGACGTCATTACAGGGCACAATAACCATTTAAATGCCCTGGGCAGGAATATGACTAGGGCAAATCTGCGTTTATTGCATATGCAAAACCCAATGTTTTCGTAACAAATATGTGATAAAATTTTAAATTGATATTTTTGCAGTTAATCTTAATATCTCCCTAAGTCAATGGAAATAAATGTATTATATCCCCCTTGGAGTGTGGAAGTAACTGTAAATAGTGTGCAGTATACTCTTATAGTACAGTGCAATGTTGTTTGATAAGGATGACATTATACAATTATGGCCCGTTGAAAAGGTGAATATCCAAAATTGTCAACACGAGAAGGTTATTTCACTGAGGGCGCAGCCCGAAGTGAAATAACTTTTAAGGGTTGACAATTTTGGATATTCATCGCTTCTAAGGGGCCAGAATTGTTTTATTATACCGAACTAACAGTGGAAGGGCATTTTGAATCATTGTAAAAACACTTACCCTTACTTGAGTCAGTAACAAACACAAGTTGACGTTCAAAAATACATGTAATTTGTGTCTTAGAATTCTCGTATGTACACCAAAGGTAGATTCTTTTTGTAAAATATTGATGGCTCTGAAAAGGACCGTTATTAGAGATATCATCGGCACAAGATGCATGTCAAAAGCCTTATTTCCTCTTCTCTCGATCAATGGGCTTCCTGTAACTTGAACGTTGCCATTTTGTTTATTTACGTCTGTGACGTCATTTTCATTAGTACAAATCAACAAACTAAAAAGGTTATTCGCCGGTGAATAATAGGGTTATTCAACGCTGGTGTACATTTTTAGGGTTATTCGTTCTTCCTTGCAATTGAATGAAAATTAACTGAATTATTCCATGTCACATGATAACGTTTTACCCAATAGAATTGTTTGAAATATATGTAAGGTATAATAATATTAGTTAGTAGGTAAATGTTATCTTTTGTAATTTTGTTTCAAAAGTTTAGTCATGCAAAAAAAAAAGTTATTGTATGAATATTGGTAAACAATATCACCCTAAGAATATTGCACTCAAAATCTTATGCAATATAATATTTTACTGTTTATTTCACCAGTATTTTCTGCAATAACCATATATTTTTAGTCATGATTTTATTATAAAAAGTAACATGAAATGAATACATATGAAAATATATAAAATTGTAAAACTGATATTTTATTTTATTTTAAAGGTTTTCCCAAGTCTATAAGTCTATCATATCAAGCCTTCCATTATTAGTATTAGGATTAGCTAGAGTTATAACGACCAAAGGAGTGAACTACCAGGAACATGCAACAGAATATGGTACACATTGGAATTTCTTCTTTACTTTAGCAACTGTCAAGGTAATTGTTTTAGTATGACAAACACAAAAAAAAATAATATAGAAACACCTTGCTTAATGCTCTAATTTGTATGAATAAGCTTCTCTTTGTCAAGAACTAATCGTTTATTCTTTATTTAATGAGTAGGAACACCAGATACCTTTGGCTATCTTTCTTTTACAAGTTGTGTCTGTTGCATGTGGGATACTACATGGAGATCATTGTTTAGTATAATTATTCCTGAACCCTAGGTCCATGATTGTTGAAATCTCTGTAAGCTGTATCACAAATACTGCGCACATGATATTTATATGATTGTTTACTGCCATTAATAGAAGGTGTGATGTAAATAAACATGGAATTGTTAGTTTGAAAATGAAGGTTGCTTACTATGTCTAACACTACAGACTGGAGGATCACATTTAAAAATATGTCCACACTTTGTCTACAGTCTTGGTCAAATTAGCTGTATTATTATCCAGATGAGTGCATTATGTATGAAACTGCCACTTTATTAAAAAAGCAAAAGTGGTCCATTACAGACTAACAGGGCTTTAATACAGGGCCATTATGAATAAACAGAGTTATAATGAAAAAAACAGGGCTATTATGAAAAAACAGGGCCATTATGAGTATTCAGGGCTATTACGGATATTTGATTGCTATCAATTCAAATACATTTCTGGTGAAAAGAAACATCAAAAATTGAAAGTTCCCAAGAATCCTGACTTATCTTATTTCACCCAGTTGTCAAGTCAATAATTACATAATAAATTCCATGATGTGTATCAATTTATTTATTTTTGAGAATGAAATCTTGTATTTTGTCTTAAATTGCCATAAATTGCCTTGAAAAAGGACAACAATAAGACTATATATACATTTACATGTTATTCCATGACATCACTTTAAAAAGTTCTTTTTAATATTGCATTTGGTTTAATTATATATATTTAATTTCTCCACAAAAAAACTGATTTGGCTTGGTTAAATATTACAAATTGACGGTTTGGATAATAAAAATGTTAAGAAATGGGTGTTTTCAAATTGACCCTGTTATTTGTACACGGTCAGTAATAATGGCCTCGGAGGTTGTTATGTACTTTGGTGTTGCCCTATGCCATTACAGGCATCCTTGTTCATTATAACAGACCTTGGACATATAACAGGGCCACTATGAAAACACTCATTAATTAATACTATATTAATAAACATATGATAACAATATCAGTGCACACTTTCTGGAATAACCTTCCAATAACCAAAGTTTGGGAAGCTTAAAACATACATTAAGGGCCTTAACAACAACCAAAGCCATCTCAGGTCAGATTTTTCTAGAGGGAGTTGCAATTTTAAATTTATTCAATTTTTGCACCATTATCCTAGTTTTGAAAGGAAAACAATGTTATTTAAAATTCCACAGATGTTGTCATTCTTGTATTTTGTCAGAGTTGTGTCCCCTATACCAGTAGGTATATTTATTGGACAACTCAATAGTTCTGGAGGATAACACTCCTAAAACAATTCATGATGAAATCAGAGGCAGACTTGAGCCTTCGGTGTTTTTTTGCAAAGTTAATGAATGAGAGTTCATGTTTTTTGTAATTTCTTTACTTTGAGCAACGCTTTAATTCTACTATCAAAACTTGACTCTGATAAAAGTTTTTATAGATATTTTTTATTTTGAACTTTTAAGATAAATTAAAAGATATATGTCTATGAAAATAGCTGTATTCCTACGATTAGTTATCTGTCATTAAACTATTCACAAATTGTTATGAAACAAAACTGTTATTTAAAATATTATAGTTTACGGCCATTGCAATGAAATGAGCGCATGAATGAAACTTTTTCACTACAGTATTAATCATTACATACTAATACATTGTATAAACTTATATAGTTGTCATATACCTTGACCTCGTTAATGTATTGATTACTAACTTATTGCATCAATTATTTTCTTTTTTCAGATATTAGCCAGTATTTTAAGTTTTCTACTATCAGTAGTGTATTGGAAGTTTGTTGTGATTTTATTGTGTGTTGTACATCAATATTTACTGACATACAGAGGCCTGAGCCAGTACATTATACAGGTAAATAAAAGAACAGTTGTTGTTTTGCCCATTGTGGATAATATATATATTTGCTATTGACTGTTTAGCAAACAACAATCAAGCAAATGAAAGTATGCCACTGTCGATTCATCTGTCAGATCACACTTTTAAAATAAAATAAGTAAAATTTACTTTTTATTTGCTTAGATACTACTAAGATTTTCTTGCCATTCAGAGAATCCATTATAGAGGCATCCTACTACATGTGAAAACAAAAATTATCCCCCTTTTTCATAATAATTAAAGTTATGTAACTCCAAAATAACAATTCAAACAACTGTCAAAAAGACACTTATCATCACTATACCTGTCTAATCAAATTTTTGAAATAAAGTTTAATGATCAATAAACAAAAATTTGACTTATTGTATTTTGTGTAAAAGTTGCTCATTTTTGTTAAACCCCTTAACTTCAAAATGACAATTAAAACAATCATCTAAACCAAAACAAGTGCTTTTATCAATCTTTCTATGCATTTTGTTAAATTTCCTGAAAATCAATCAAGCAAACTAAATTTTTTATAATAAAACTGAGTCAATCAAAAATAAAAGGTGTTATTAGTTTTATCTATAAATGCCAGGTAAGCAATACAGGCTTCTTGAAGTTATTACTTCTATTCATCTTCTATAAAATATGAAAAAAATGATAAAGAATAATTTTAGAAATTTACACCATTTACTGTTTCTAGGGCATAGATGGCCATGGTGGAAGACACGGAATATTAGACAGTAATAGAGAAGGCATCATTTCAAGTGTGGGTTATTTCATCATGTACTTGTTTGGGGTTGAGATAGGAAGATTAGTTTTTAAAAAGGAAAGGTTTGTATAAGAAATCATATATTTTTAAGTCTGCAGATCTTTCCTGACTTTTCTTCTAATTTGATCTGTGGTTTTAAAAGTTAAGAAAAGAATAGGAAGGAATAGCTAATATGAAAGATTAAAATTCCAAAATCACTGGGAGAAAAGTTTCTTGGTACAGGGTCTTTGCACCTGAAATTTGTGGGTTTAACCAGGTGTTATGGTGTTAAACTTAATGTTTAACTTCTGACATGTCTGACACTTATAGAAATGTATTATACCAAAATATCAAATAAACACAAACTTTTTTCTGCATCTTGATCTACACACAATTTACAGTAGTATATCGAATAGTCAAACTACTTATGCACTTGCATGTATGTCTTTGAAATTGCGTGATGAAACAGCATAGTACAATATAGCTGCAAGGTTCTTATGATATTTTTTGACATGTCCGCAAATTGTCAAAAAATATCATAAGGACCTATGAGCTATGGTTTTGCAGCTAAGGACAATATTGACTGATGTTAAGTTCCAAATTTATATGTACACAACCATCATATGATATGTATGGATTGCCAATTTATAAAGTAGCAAATCTTGCACCTAACCAACACAAGAGGATTCCAACATCTCTGTTTATTCTATAAATAGTGACATAAGTAATCACACAATGCACTTGATACTTTTCCACATATTTATTTTGTATAATTATTACAGGAAAACAGTATCAGATTATATGAATCTGTTAGGAGTATTAGTTATATCAGCAGGATCTTTATTTACTGTATTACCATACCTGACACAGATTGAACCTATATCAAGGAGATTTACTAATGTACCTTATGTTATATGGATGGTATGTTTGTATTTAATACAAAAACAATTTTAAAAGTTATAACAGTTCTTCATTCTTTAAGTGTAAGTTTGTGTTTACCTGTTATACATCTAATATAATGGATTCTTTGTTTCCCCTTAATGACAATTATTTACATTTTTTATCTTCATTTATAAGATTGCAACTTTCGGAATATAAATTGTAAGAGCAATTCCTTGGGATAAGTTATGCTACATGTTTTATTTATCACACAGACTCAGTCAGTTGTGAAAACACGGAAGACACTTACTTGGTGGGCAATATAAATGGTAAAAAGAAGGCATGTAGAAATCATGAACTATTTATGAGTTCTAGTGTGCACACTATTGTGTTTGTACATTTTGAAAAAATCCCTTTGAAAGATGTCATGTTGAAATCATGATTTCTTCCTGCTATACACACAAGCAAACCTGTTAAAATATTAAGGTTTGATGAGGTCCTATACATTTAATGACAAAATAAGAAGAATATGGATAAAAATGGGTAGAACAATTGGTTTATACACAGAAGCATGCAAATACATGTACAAAGAGAACAGAAAGATGGCATTCCAACAGTTAATTTTGAAAATGTTCATCGAAGACAAACTTTTTAAAAGTAGATAACAGTTTTTTCTCAATGATCTTTGATTGGAAACATAACATGACATGATGACCACATATTAGTTTTGCTATCTGATGTATTCCATAGTCATTATGTTTCTGCTTTGCACCAGCAAATTATTAAATGAATTTTATTTTGTTTTAGATTGGAATATGTTTACAGCTAATGGCTTCTTATTTGTTAATAGATTTGATTTTCCTCTTTCTCAAAAGTTTACAAAATAAAAAAGAAAAAGGTGAGTTGATTTCATGCTCTATATTGTAAATATGATTAAGTATGATTTCCAATGAGACAACTCTCCACCAGAGACCAAATGACTTAGAAGATAACAACTATAGGTCACCATACAGCCTTCTATAATAAGCAAAACCCATACCGCATAGTAATGTTTGTTTTGTTCAATGCATTATTTATTTTGATGAGCCAAACTCAGTTGTTTTGAAATCTCATTTAACTCAAGTAGAACAAACGTGTCAAAGTTTGAAATGCATGAAAATTTGAAAGGAAAAGAAAGAGTCAAATAATGAAATTTTATTTTCATGTTATATTGAAAATTAAAATGACATGTTAATTGTTTCCTTCATACAGTTTAAAACACTTGAAGTTTTGATTGTTACAGGTATAAAAGAAGATAAAGTATTGTACAGTTTAATAGATGCTGTGAACTACAATGGCTTGTTATACTTTCTGATAGCCAATTTATTGACAGGGATAATTAACCTGAGTATAAAAACTATTTTGGTGCCACCAATTTACAGTGTTATTATTATTGTTATTTATATGATTATATTATCAGTCGTATCATTTATTTTATATGTAAACAATGTTAAAATGAAATTCTGGTAACAATATATATGGTTCCTAGTGACTTGACTTGCAGACTTAAAGATAATCATTTAGTTTTGATAAGGTTGTTAAAACTGTTATAAATACTAGTGACAGACTATGGAAAACATATTTGTATAGGAGTCAGGACTGTAGTTTATGTTTTGTCTCCTAAGGCAAAAATAGTTCGTCTGTTATAAGTGATTTATACAAAAGAGTTAGCAACTGGCAATATCAATAAAAAAATAAAGATGACCGAATTTTTAGAGAGAAGACAAGCATAAAATTGTTTATGGGGATTTTTTTTCTCCAAAATTACATGAATATAAATTCTAAATTCAAAAGTAGCAGTTGGGCTTAGTGTTTCTTAGAATGATTAAAAAACAATTTAAACTGATGTCTGTATCATTTGTTCTCTTTTAAATATGTCACAAGAAAGAAACTGTTGGGCACTTTATAGAACTCCTATGTTCTAAAACAATTCAATCATTGCCAATCACGGTAACTTATTTTTCAAAGTTGTGGGATAGGTGCAATAGAATGAGAATGAATAATTGTAGTAGCTTTCACTTAATTTTTGTTTTGTTTACAAAAGCATAAACTATGTTTTGATTCTTACTGTATTGATCAATCACTTTAATGTCTAGAAAATTAATTTCAATTGACAGAGAATTTGAATTTACTTTTTTCTGATGTGTGAACTTTCTTGTATGACATTAAACGATTACTCAAAACCACAAAAAGTACCAGGCTGAGTATTCTGCACAGTAACATGCTTTGATATTTAGTGGTTGTACCTTTGCCCTGTTTTGATTATCTGACTACCAAGCATGTATAGTTGTATACATATTATATACTTACTTCTATTGCAGTATATATTAGTAATTTAGTAAGATGCAAACTATGGAGGGCCTTATCTATAAAATATTAAATACAATATAAGGTGAAATAATGTTTGAGCTCAACCTAAAAAAACTGTGGCTTTTTTGTTAAGATTTAACATTAATTTTAGTTTTAAGGTTAAACAAATTAATTTAACTAAATTGTTTTTTTGTGCAATGTTTTATGTCTGTGATCATTCCAATTTGTAATTTTGTAATAAAAGTGAAAAGTAACTACATATTTTTCTCTAATGTGTTCTTTTTCAGTATCTTACATGTTTAGCATATGTGTTTGATTTGACTTTGGAATGATATAATGGATGACGCATGCGTTATAAGAATAACTGGAGATGCTTATCATGTTGACATTGTTATTGTGAAGAACCCTAGAGGCTTTGCCTTATCAGAGTACCAATAGACCATGGATAGAGAAAGGTTGTTAGTATGGAACAAGTCCAATGCAATGATAATATTCTTAATATCCAATTCTAATTGTTGATTACCCGTTTCCTGAGGATTAATGAAACTGATGGTTAATATACCTTTTTTTATATTTTTGGAAAAGAAAGCTGCAAAAATAATTTTGTTAAGACATGTAATTATTTTGAGAAAATATTAAATACATGATATGAAAAGGAGATTACCTTAGTCATGTTCAACATCATGGTTTGATATTATTGATTTTGCTGTAAAATTATTTCCCTTCTATATCCTTAATTTTCTAATCATGTAGGGAGATATATTGTTTAAGTGGTATTACTTTTTCTTGTTATTGTTCTCATACACCTTGTCTGTGTCAAGACACCTTTATTTTTTGACATTTACTTGTAATACTTGGCATGAAGGTGTATTACCATATGAAAGTGTGTCAGTCACATCTCATCATGTCCTTCATTTGACCTTTACCATTGACCTGATGGTTAAAAAAACAAATTTGGGACATTTTCTTATACAAACCATAACTTTTTAATCAAGACCATGTGCCACATACCATTGAAGACGACCTCTGATCTAATCATTTGAATGTTTTTTACGAACATTTTCATCACTGCTCAAAACCATATATATTCTTGCTTGAAATGACAAGAACTTTTTTAGTGCATCTAATGGTAAGGACCTGGCAGAAATGCACCATACCTTTCATATAATAAATTGTAAAATATCTCTATAAAATGTTTTAGATCCCCACTCATTGACCACTTATTTTCATAATCATTATGATAAGACCTTTCTAGTGCACTATAGATTTTGCTTTGGCTTCAGGGGACATGGTTCACCACTTTCATATCATTAATTATCAAATATCTTTAATTTAAAACTGTTAAGATCACCACCAATAGATTATATACATTCTTAATTGTCATGTCAAGACTTAACAGTTTCCTTAGCTTTACCATAGGGATGTTCTCTTCTTCATTTATATCATAAATGGTTAAATATATAAAAATAATGTTCAGATCCCCACCCTAAACCAAATACATGTATATTCTAAATTGCCATGATTAGACCTTTCTTCTGCTAGATAGATTTTGTCCTGGAAGTGTTTGTCACACCCAACTTCTCTTCTCTTAAGGATGTACTTAGGTGAAATTAAAAAAATCTAGAATTTAAAATTGATACTATAAGTCAGAAGAGCATTAGTTAAGGAACAAAATAAGCTAAATTATTGATAGTTTATGGAGCTCCTTTTCGAGATATTAATTTTTTTTAAATGGCGGGAAACGGCTGACTCGGACTTTTACCTTATATTTGCATTGGTATTATTTGGGTCTCAAATCAAAAGAAAAGAAATCTAGAATGCTTAAATTTTGGTAAATAACCTTTTATGAGCTATTGAAGTCTTGTATGAAAAGAAAAATGGGTGTTATGGGGCAAAATACTTTACCCTGTATTGTAGGAAAAAAACCAAGGAGTCCAACATCTGACACAAATTCCTAAACCTGACCTAAGTACATCCTTAAACTGCTGTTGAATATATAGAAAAAAAACAGAAAAAATCCTCACCAATTTACCATGTGTAGTCTTAATTGCCATGACAATACCTTTCCAGTATTGGAGTACTAGAATTTGTTTGTTGAGCTTTCCTTTACAGGAATGACTTGTATAGATGAAGGGAGACATATATTTAGTCCACTAAAACAATTCCACTTTAATATTTTAGAAAACATATTTAAATAAAGAAAAAATACAATATTTGTTTTGTTAGAAAACTAAGCAATACTTTATTGCTATACCTTTAACATTGTCTGTAATTTCTGTCTGTTATTTATCCATTCTCAATGACATTATGAAGAAATATAATTACAGTATAGTTTTTGGTAAAGTTTTCCTGATCAGATTATCTTTTTAGTTACTAAGAGTAAAAGGTGAACTATATTTGGTCAATGGAATCTTTGTAAAGTGTTGATACGAATATAAGAATATTTACAGACAAAAGACATGCAGTCTTCAACAATAGAAATGTTCCTACCATATGTCAAGCTCTAAATAATATCAAAGATCTGCCATTAACACAGAATTCCCAAAACCATGTTTAATATTTAGACATAACATACCCTTAGTAAGTTTGATCCAAGTAGCAACAACTTGATCTCTAGATTTTCAAAATACAATGTACTATTCGGTCATTGTCGATTACACAGGTGAGTTATTTCCAATACGTTCAAGTGTTCGTTCTGGTATGGATTTGTGTCTTCCAAATGATTGTAGTTAAAGGAGTCTTATATGTCTTTTGATTCCTTGTCCGAATTTGGCTATACTTTAGGTTCTTTTTGGTTTTATCAGCTCTGCAACGTTTGTATTAGGTTTTGGATTTACAAATATTGTGGCCTCGAGCGTTACTGAAGAGACATTAATTGTTGAAATGTGCATTTGATGCAGTAAAATTTGTTCCGTTTATATTATTGATGCAAAACCATCTTCAACTGTCATATACCTAGGAGATTTGACGGTGTAAATTATGCTCAACCACACCATTTTGAAGAAACTGTGACAAAGTGTACCTCGTCAGGAATATAAGTTGGTCTCTACTTAGTGTTCTGATAGTCTTGTATTTCTATATTTTATCTCTCATGTACTCTTGAACTGTGGAGTTTTATTGGATTATTAGTTTACTTCTTCTTCCCAATGTACATTAGTTTACTTCTTCTTCTCAATGTACATTAGTTTACTTCTTCTTCCCAATGTACATTAGTTTACTTCTTCTTAAGGAATGACTGTAATATTTTTTCTGTCTATGAAGAAATAACATCAAAAATGTGGTGCACACTGAATAACCCACGTAGCGGGTTATTTTAAAGTGTGCACCACATTTTTTATGTTATTTCGAATAGACAGAAAAAATATTACAGTCATTCCTTATAATTTAATTCAAAATTCCGTTTTAAGCCGGGGTAAATCATGACAAAACGTTCATGACGTCACCGTCACATGACAAAATTATGTCTATGAGCTGATAGACAAAACACTGTCAGCCAATCAGATGACGCGTTACATCCAAAATTAAATTATTTCCCAATGTACATTAGTTTACTTCTTCTTCCCAATGTACGTTAGTTTACTTTTTCTTCCCAATGTACATTAGTTTACTTTTTCTTCCCAATGTTACTATGTAAGCTTGGGCTAAGGAGACGGTAAGCAACATCGAATTCAAATCAAAAAGACCATCAGTGGTAGACATGCGAACTTAACACATGTTAAGCACTAACAGTGACACAATGGGAGTAATGAAAATAATTTGTGGAAGTAAAAAACCTGAGGAAAGAGTTAAAGGACAAACACTAGTCCATATATATAGAACACTATACAGAAATCTTAACATTGAGCAACACTAACCACATTTAAAATCCATTGGTATGTCAATTATGAATCATATTAAAACGAGTCAAAATAGGATGGATTGTGGTGGTCATTTGTCACACTAACGTTCTGTAGCGATGGTGTGATGAATTGTGGTGGTCATTTGTCACTCTAACGTTCTGTCGCGATGGTGTGAAGCCTTAGTTCAGTAGTTTCCTTGTAAGCAACAAACCTCTATCAAGAAATTCACGATAGGAAACATTAGCTATGGAATATCGTAGAAAAAAGTAAGAAGATACCAAGGGGCAATCACAAACCACATGTTGAAGAAAGCAGACATTAACATGAAAAAGAAAAAGACAGATAACAGTCCACAATCACAACACAAAAAATTAAATTGGGCAACCCGAATACCACAAAAATATAGAGCCACCTCAGATTATCATGATACTGATACCTTCGTGTTACTTATTATAATAGAAGTAAACACCCTGAGATAAGTTTACATACGGATGATTTTATGAAAGAGGAAAGGATAAAGGAATGATAACCTTTGCTTCAATAGTTTTTGTTTCAAGTAGTAATCTTTTATGATGATATGATAGTGAACGCAAGCCCTACATATAGATTATAACATGGCATTTTTCATATCCGACCCCTTATCAGCCCTAGGTCACGATATCAGCCCGAGAGCCGACAGGCTCGAGGGATGATTTTGACTTTGGGCTGATAAGGGGTCTGATATGAAAAATGACATTTTATGTTCTTTTTATCAGAGACATATAATACAATTATGTCTCTGTTTTTATCATATACTTCAGCAGAAGCCATACAGACAAGGAAAACTTGTATTAATATTTGTTTTGCATTTTTTAATAATATATTTTCCTGTTTCCTAATATTCGTTCTTTTATTCTACTTAGTTATTATCACTAAAATGTACCACTGAGGTTTATTTTCCGCAATTTGCAGAATGACGTCGAAATACTTTGCGATAACGTTAAAGAAAGGCATGAGATAATTACCGGAAGCAGTTGATATATACCGGAAGCAGTTGATAGCTAAGACAATTCTTCAAATTTAATGAATAAATATATGTATAAATAAGTTTTATCAAGGGGTTCAATTATACTATTATTTTCTACAAGTATATGATAAAATATTATATCAACTGGATGATATATAAAACAACCCAACTCCACACAGGTGGTATTACATAAAATTGGAAAGTCCACCATGCGAAAATTGAAGTCATCTAAGTCACCACAATTTTTAGATCGTCAAACAACCTTTATGTTTATCATTAGTTGTGCATTTGAAAATTTTGTACAATCTCAATTCTTTATCCTAATAGTTTCTAATAAAAGAAAATAGATAATTTAGAAGCATTTGTAACAACACGAAGCATGTAAAGATTTCATACACATAAAAAAAAGTACTTGTAAAAAAATATCGTATTGCGGGTTTTAAATGAACTTGGTTCACTGGGTTTAACTATATCAAGATTATGATGATTTTATAAAGAGTGCTAGAGTTTGATATTGCAAAAGGTATGTCTTTTTCTAATTTTTTATTCGAACTCATACTTATCGCTCACACTAGAATGATATTGAAACAAAGGTTTCGGTGAAAAAGAAATATACATTTCTGTTATTTTTTTTACTTCCGCCTGTTTTTCTTACAGGTTAAAACTTGCTAATACTTATTTGTTTGGATTCGTATATGTATTTATTTTTTTCTACTTTATGTGCTGCAGACTTATCTGTTGAATTTATTAAATAAAATGGAAATGTCTTTAAGATGATTAAGAGGAAAAGAATTAATAGGAGAGGAAAATTTTAATTGGCTGTTAGACATATTTGATTTAGAGGAATGCTGCCAAAGTTCGTAATAGAAGTATAATACATACTCGGTAATACTACTTTTTCTATGAATAGAATATTTTGTTTGTATACTTTTAGTATGGCTGAAGGTTTTACTTATGTTCCAGAGATAGAATTATGGAAAAGTTTGAATGTGTTTTATACTTCATACGGACATCTTACCAGATCAAAAGTTTTGCCTGAAGTTGTAGAAACTGCTTACGCTATTCTACAAAAAATACAAGAAACAAGTGAAATGTTTAAAGGCGAAGTGGTAAAAGTTGGAAGTTCAGCTTCTAAGGTGTCAGCAATGTTTGATGACGAAAGTGACGTATTATTTCCTATCTATATTGAAGGACAAATTGAAGCGACTGAGGATCCGGAATATGTCAAGTTTAAATTACCGAAGCGCTGTGTGAAAATTTGGGAAATCTGTTCTGATAATGAATATTTAAGCCCAAGTAAATTTTCTAATCACTTTTATGATTTGGTAAACGATTGTTTAGAAAAACTGAAACCGGATGGTAAGATCGAATTAGAAGGAAAGGGCACAGTTGCAGCAACTCTAAACTGTTGCCATGAAAAGTTCGATTTTTCTGTTGATTTAGTTCCTGCAGTTAGATGCAAACCATGGAGTACAAATCCATATTGGATGACTGACAAAACAAGGCAGTGGCCTCCGAGAGATATACTGGCTTCTTTTATTGGAAGGGGTACAGAGCTAGTTTCAAAGTCATCTAGAGGTGGTGGAAATAATTGGCGTTTGTCGTTTTCCCATGCTGAAACGGAGCTAGTTACAAATGCAACTTTAATATTCCCAACATTTGGAAAGCTCTTGATTATTTGGAAAACGCTACGAAAGCTTTATTTCTCACCACAAAGTAGACATTGTACAATATTATTTAAGTCTTACCATCTTAAGATATTATTATTACACGAGGCAATAGATAACCCGGACAAAGAAGCATGGGAAAACCAGAACCTTGCTCTTAGATTTAAGTTGTCTTTGGAACGTCTGCGACAACATATAAAGGCAGGATTTTTACCTCACCTATTTATCCCCACAGTCAATCTGTTTTCCAATGGCACACCTCATTTCGTTTTGGACCATAAACTGTTTACAACTAGCGATTTGGCAGACGTCATGAGAAACATTCGAAAATTGGACAGAACGGACTTTTACCCCGGTGGATTTTAAAATGTTTTAAATGTGTTGCCGATTCTCATTTACCATGTCTAGATATTTGTACTCATCAGAACTTAGTTGATTTTATGTTCTTGAAATTTTATCGGCATTTGTTATATTGCGCACACTTGAATAACTAAAGCTTTCACATAAAACGAATACTCATATCAATATAAAATAATAAGATTTAAGGTGAATTTTAAATTAGAACTCAATCCAGTTTTACGAACTATAATAGATGCAAATATAATTATAACTTAAAACGTTATGTTGCATTTTTCAGACAAGGATACAAGATCAAAATGTTATTTTTATGGCTTTATCATTTGTAGATACGCAGGTAAATTTTCAACTTTGCATGGATTCGCTCAATGAGTTATACAAATTCAATGATGGTGATGTGGACCTTGTCTTCATAAATATAGAATTTATCGCTTTGAAACCATGTTTAGGTGTGTAAAAGGGGTTTCAAATTTTGATTTCTGCTTCAAGAAGTCAAATTTTCGGACCTTAAATGTAAGCAACTCTAGAATTTGTTGCGCTTGTTTTGTTGTCACAAACTTTGAGATTTTGCTTAATATAAGAGATGTTTCGACATGTCATTTTCTGACAAAAAATGTAGATGGTGATGTATTTAATCATGTGTTGTTCGCTCAAGGACCAAATTCTGAACCCGCAATTTTGAACTGATAGTATTTTTATTGTGAACTGACAACCTTTTTACATTTGCATTTAGGGGTGGTCTTTTCATAGAATTATTGTTTTACAACTACATCGCTTCTGCATACAACATTTTGTTTGTAGAATGCAATGTCCAGCCTTTTAAAAAAACAGTCGAAATATATTAGAATATAGAAATAAGAAGATGTGGTATGATTGCCAATGAGACAACTCTCCACAAGAGACCAAATGACACAGAAATTAACAACGATAGGTCACCATACGGCCTTTAACAATGAGCAAACCCATACTGCATAGTCAGATATAAAGGCCCCGAAATGACAAATGTAAAACAAACGAGAAAACTAACGGCCTAATTTATGTACAAAATAATGAACGAAAAACAAATCTGTTACACAGCAACAAACGACACCCACTGAAATACAGGCTCCTGACTTGGGACAGGCACATACAGAATGTGGCGGGGGTAAACAAGTTTGAAGGCGCCAACCCTCCACATAACCTGGGACAGTGGTGTAACAGTACAACATAAGAACAAACTATAAAAATCAGTTGAAAAAGGCTTAACTCATCAAATGGATACAAATAGAAATACATCTACCAAAAACAGACAGTGGACGTGGCAGGGTACTTATACATTCCCACAACAAAAAGACACTAAGTACAGATCTGAGAATACTCGCAGTTACTGACAGCTAGTTTAAAGCCAATAAAAACTTATAAAAAAAATCTTGCATCTAAGACTAAAATATCAATCAGTACACATCCAACATCCAATGGATTTAGTGTAAAGACGTCGTTAACATGCAGCCAGAGAAAAACGTGACCTTGTGCAATGCCAAGATACAGGTATCGACAGGTTGTAGAGCCACAAATGTGCATATGTATATAAAAACAATATTTAGTTTGATTTTAATTTACCGATAACAAAATCAATATTAATACCAATAAAAACAATATTCAAAGATCAACAGTGTTGCATTGGTAACCTTTTAGAATAGTTTATTTAAAGGATCGATAAGTTTTCCCGGATCGTATATAAATCTCCAGGCTCGGTAAACAACATCTCCGTAAAAATTAGGATGTTCTATCCCGATTGAAATAAGTTTTCTACAGGTACAACCAAACTTCAAAACTAAATCTTTATATCTATGGAAGAATTTAGTAAAGGTTTTAAGTAATTTGTGGTAACGAAATTCCTGACTTAATAATTTACCAGCAATACATAGATTACGTTCATTGAAATCCAAAACGTCACAACATACACGGTAATAGCGAACGAGTTGTGATATATAAACACCGTAAGATGTACCAAAGGAACATCACCGTCCAAAAAATGAAAATTAACAATAGGGAACGAAAAATCGTCCCTTTTATCGTAATTTTAGTGTAGAGTTTCCCCTGTAAAACTGAAATATCTAAATCTAGGAAAGGACAGTTATTACCGTTTATATTTGATTTATTTAAAGTAAGTTCTTTTCGGTAAATTTCGGGAGTATATTTAGAAAATTCTTGATTATTTAACGAAAAAATATCAAGATAACGGTAAGAGTTGTTGAATTTATCAATTAAATGCAATTTAGACGGGTCTTTACTGAGTTTGGTCATAACAATACAAGAACAAGTCTGCTATTAAAGGGGGCGCAATTGGTGCCTAAAGGAATACCCCCAACCTGTCGATAAACTTTATTGCTGAAACGTACATCAGGCAGTTTGTCGTTTCAGAAGTGTTTTTGCTCTTGAATAATATCTTGATATTTCTTTAAAAATAAAAGTTTACAAATAAGAACAATTCACTTCGGCTATGAATATAAGTCGTCTTTTTTGAGAGGTTTAATTGGTTAAAATAGCACAACCATGCAATGAGCTTACATCATAAGCTTCTCTCTATAAAAACACACTTTTAATGTTCTTCTTGGGGATTCCATTACATTCTTATATATAATTTATGCATGTCTAGACCAATTTGGTAAAACAAGGTATTTGTGTGCATGCATGCATATGATGAGGATTAAATGTTTATCTTATTGATTTATGGTTTCTTGATTTTTTTTAGCGGCAACAATGCTATGCATTTAAATGGTCATTACGATTCTTTGTATGTCATGTATGTCATGTAAATATTCGAATGATGTGTCCTGTGTAGCTATGATACCAACTATAAGTTAGTTACAACCTAAATATTCCAGGTGTCTTAATTATCTCTCTTTAAATGGTTCATAATATGTGTCTCTGTTCATATACCAATATATCATAATTTGCACATATGAACTATATACAACCACCAAAAGGCACATTGACTACATAATCAAATAGAGAATGGAAACGGGGAATGTGTCAAAGAGACAACAACCCGACCAAAGAGCAGAAAACAGCCCAAGGCCAACATATGAATAAAATCAGGAGTTGCTTATACAATAAGAAGGCAGGCCAACTACAAACAAGAGTGGACACGCTGAAATGTCTCGCCTTCTTTACTAACCGTTGATATTATGTTGATAATCATTAATGAAAGCTTTACTACAACTATTACATAAACTTAACATGATCCAAGAAAATGAAGTCAAGGTCATATAAACCAAACAAGAAATACATGTACACCTTACAATCATTCAATACACTAAATATAGTTGACCTATTGCTTATAGTTTCTAAGAAACAGACTTAACCAAGAAAACTAAACATTGACCAATGAATCGTGAAAATGAGGTCAAAGTCAAATGAACCATGCCAGGCAGACATGAACAGCTTACAATCCTTCCATACAACAAATATAGCTGACCTATTGCTTATAGTTTAAGAAAAACAGACTGAAACACATAAACTTAACACTGAGCAATGAACTGTGAAAATGAGGTCAAGGTCAAATAAAACCTGCGAGACTGACATGTACATCATAGAATATTTCCATACACCAAATATAGTTGACTTATTGCATAATAGTATAAGAAAAAAGACCAAAACTCAGAAACTAAACTTTGACCACTGAACCATGAAAATGAGGTCAAGGTCAGATGACACCTGCCAGTTGGACATGTACACCTTACAATCATTCCATACACCAAATATAGTAGACCTATTGGATAAAGTATAAGAAAAACGGACCAAAACACAAAAACTTAACTATAACCACTGAACCATGAAAATGAGGTCAAGGTCAGATGACACCTGCCAGTTGGACATGTACACCTTACAATCATTCCATACACCAAATATAGTAGACCTATTGGATAAAGTATAAGAAAAACGGACCAAAACACAAAAACTTAACTATAACCACTGAACCATGAAAATGAGGTCAAGGTCAGATGACACCTGCCAGTTGGACATGTACACCTTACAATCATTCCATACACCAAATATAATAGACCTATTGCATACAGTATAAGAAAAACTTAACTATAACCACTGAACCATGAAAATGAGGTCAAGGTCAGATGACACCGGCCAGTTGGACATGTACACCTTACAATCATTCCATACACCAAATATAATAGACCTATTGCATACAGTATAAGAAAAACAGACCAAAACACAAAAACTTAACTATAACCACTGAACCATGAAAATGAGGTCAAGGTCAGATGACACCGGCCAGTTGGACATGTACACCTTACAGTCCTTCCATACACCAAATATACTAGACCTATTGCTTATAGTATCTGAGATATGGACTTGACCACCAAAACTTAACCTTGTTCACTGATCCATGAAATGAGGTCGAGGTCAAGTGAAAACTGTCTGACAGGCATGAGGACCTTGCAAGGTACGCACATACTAAATATAGTTATCCTATTACTTATAATATGAGAGAATTTAACATTACAAATAATCTGAACTTTTTTTTCAAGTAGTCACTGAACCATGAAAATGAGGTCAAGGAAATTGGACATGTGACTGACGGAAACTTCGTAACATGAGGCATCCATATACAAAGTATGAAGCATCCAGGTCTTCCACCTTCTAAAATATAAAGCTTTTAAGAAGTTAGCTAACGCCGCCGCCGCCGCCGGATCGCTATCCCTATGTCGAGCTTTCTGCGACAAAAGTCGCAGGCTAGACAAAAAAACCAAACGAAATCTAGAGGTCAACAAATAGACAAAAGGTTGTACATTATGAAAAGCTCTATATTGCCCCAAGTCAGGAAATTTTTTAAATATATTCAACAGATACTATACTCAATATCTTCCAGGGTAATGGTCCGTTCGAAACGGTGTGCACATGGTCATATGATACCAAGATATCATACTAATGTAACTTAAGTTTGCCAAAAGATAAAAGATTAATACAATGCAGTTACGAACGGACTGACAAGGCAACCGGCCTAGTACACATACCTCACCGAGTCATATGGAACGCAGTCATTTAACGCAACTTTTTAAGATCACTCCTTGAAACGGTTTAGATCCAAAATGCTATGGGGTTTAAGAGAAAGGTTTTTGTATTAGCATACGGCAATTAGGTGAAATTTTAAATAGTCGTTCACTTTCGAATCATACCTGTTAAATTTGGAGTTAATGAGATCTAAAAGTTTAAAGATTTTTCACATAGCTATGCAAAGTTCAAATCCGGTGAATGTTGAGCTGGCCTGTCGATGAGTTAATTTTAGTGAAATATATATAGAACTTTTTTATGGTTTTTTAATTCAGAGATATCAAAATTACTAGATCGTCAATATATGGAATAAAGATATCCACCTCACTTTGTGTAAAAGAGAATGAATACAGTTTTACCAGATGATGAAACTAGTTCCAGTTTTTG